AAGGGGCTCCTCCAACTGTCCTCCCTCCTCAGATACCTACTGATTATGAGACATTAAAGAGGTCTTGGTCACAACTGCTAGAAGAACGGGATTCTTATCGGGAAAAGTTCAACGAGCAGGAATTGAAGATCCAGAAGCTGACAAAGCAGCTGGAGAACGAGCGAGCTCTGAATGATTACATCCGTACTGAGAAGAGGAGACCATGGGATCAATAAGGAGCTCTGGATGTTCTTTCATAGTTTTATTTCCCTTTTCAGTATTTCCTTTTTATGTAACGCCTAAGGGCAATCTGCTGAACAATTTAAGTTTCAAAGTTAAATCTAATGAAGTGTGTTCCTTTTTGTTTACAAAGTTGATTCCCGATTGTCTTTGAAAACATAAATCATACGCATATCATTCATCATGTGCATAGCAGGTTTTCTTCTTTTCAGGTTGCTTACTGTTCTTCGCTGTTTATTTCAGCATCATGAATCCTGACTCATCATCAACCGAGATGTCTATCAAGGCTCTTCAAGCGCAGAATGCGCAATTTCAGGAGCTGATCATGGGTTTGGCTCAAGGCCAAGAAGAGCTAAAGGCTTTACTCCTGAAGAAGGAGAAGAAGAAGAAGAAGAGAACTGTTCTTTTCAACTCGGGCCGAAGGTTTGGCAACACTCTGCAGAATGAAGAGGCTGGTTCTTCTATAGGCAAGAGCAGTCCCCAAGGGGGAAAAGGTCCTAGTCTGGTAGTCTCTGACAACGAGACTGACTTTAATGAGGAACAGTATCCTCCGGCTGAAGACCGGTACAAGCAGTTGGAAGACAGACTGAATGCAATGGAGATCCAACAAGTGCCTGGGCTGGATTTCGGAGACTTGGGCTTATCTACTGGTGTGATTATTCCTCACAAGTTTAAGGCAACATCTTTCACCAAGTATGACGGGGCGTCTTGTCCCAAGCTACACCTCAGATCTTATGTGCGGAAGATTCAACCGTACTCAGTGGACAAGAATTTGTGGATCCACTTCTTCCAGGAGAGTCTTTCAGGGACTCATCTCGAATGGTTCTATCAGCTGGATGGGACCAAAGTTCGTAACTGGGAGGAGTTGGCTACTGCTTTTTATAAGCAGTATCAATATAATGCCGACCTTGCCCCTACACGTATCCAACTCTAGGGTATGTCGCTAGGGTCAAGTGAAGGTTTTAAAGAATATGCACAGAAGTGGAGGGATCTGGCTGGCAGGGTGCAACCTCCGTTAACTGACCGGAAGTTGGTAGATATGTTCTTGGGGACCCTATCTGGGCCATTTTTCAATCATCTTATCGGTAACTCATTTGCAGGGTTTACTGATCTTATTCTGACTGGAGAAAGGATAGAGGCTAGAATGAAGTCTGGTAAAATTCAGAAGGGTGCATCTGCAAGCTCTGAGAAGAAACCCTTTAAGAAGGAGGCCAGTGCTGTATATGGGTATAGAAGACAAGAGAAACCTGAGCGTCGCCAATCTGTCAACACGGTGATGATTGCTAAACCTGCTGCCGCTCCTCGGCAAACCAATCCTCAAAGGGCCGAAAGACCCAGGAGAGAGTTTACCCGTTTGAGTATGACCCTGTCGCAAATCTTGCCGCAGTTACTATCCACCAATTTGGTGACTGTTAGAGAGGCCCCGAAGGTTGTGAATATGGCTTCTCCCAAGTACAATCCAAATGCCCGCTGTGGCTATCACTCCGATAGCCCGGGGCATTCCACTGATGACTGTTGGGCCTTAAGGAATAAGGTGCAAGACCTTATTGATGCAAAAGAGATACAGTTTGAAGCACCTGAGAGGCCAAATGTGGTGACTGCTCCTATGCCCCAGCATGGAGTAAATGCCGTTGATGAAGATGTGTATGCCGTTTCTGTGAATGATGTAGCTACTCCCTTGATGACCGTTAAGAGGAACCTACTACTGGCCGGTTTATTTCCGGGTTGTAGTGAAGGTTGCCTTTTCTGCGCTGTTTCCCTTTCTGGTTGTCCTTTGCTGAAGTTGGGCATCCAAAGCCTGATGGACAGCAAAGAGATTCTATTCAAGAAGACTGCTGTTCAGTTTGTTCCGGTGGAAGAAGTTTCTGTCGTTACAATCTTTAATAATCCGATCAAGGCTCTCCCAAGGAAGCCAGTTAAAATCATGACTGTCGCACCCGTTGTTATTACTGTTCTGGGGCCTCTCCCCTATGAATCTGATAAGGCTGTCCCCTGGCACTATGGGGCAGACGTGTATGTACATGGAATCAAGAAAGAGTTCAACACTGGCACCAGCATCAGCAATATCACTGGTCCAGCAAAAGTTACCCGCAATGGCAGGCTCTTCTCGCCTGACATTGCGCCATCCGCTATTCAAAGACCCCTCACTATAACACCTGCAAGTGTACCTGTTCCCGTTTCTGATCAAGTTGTTTCCCCTGCTGCCGAGTCATCTAATGCTCGGGGTAAAGGGATTGAAGATGAGCCTGCCCAGATGGAGGCACCAAAATATGTGACTGCTGAGGCCTCCCAGTAAGAGATGGAGGAAATCCTGAAAATAATCAAGAAGAGTGACTTTAATGTTGTCGAGCAGCTGGGGCATACACCCTCCAAGATCTCCATGCTCTCCTTGCTACTGTGCTCAGAGGCCCATGCTAAGGCCCTGATTTCATTCCTCAAGACGGCCCATGTGCCACAGGAGACATCTGCAGTCCAGTTTACTGATTGCGTAGCCAATTTGACAACCGACAATGGTTTGGGTTTCTCGGATGCTGACCTTACTGCTAAGGGAAAGGACCACAATGATGCCCTACGTGTCTCTATTGAATGCAGGGGCACTACTCTTGCACACGTGTTGGTGGACACTAGTTCTTCCCTAAATGTGCTACCCAAGAAGGCCTTAGACCGTTTGGATTGTGAAGGCCTGGAGCTGAAACCTAGCAATATCATCGTCAGAGCCTTTGATGGTTCTAAGAGGATGGTTCATGGAGAGGTAGACATTCCTATTCGTGTGGGTTCTCAAGTTTTCGACTCTACTTTCTATGTGATGGATATCTATCCATCGTATTCTTGTCTACTGGGTCGACCTTGGATCCACAAAGCTGGGGCAGTGACCTCTACCCTGCACCAGAAGCTCAAGTATCCCGTCAGAGGGAAGATTGTCACTGTGCAGGGAGAGGAGGAGTATATGGTGAGCCATTTGAATTCCTTCAGGTATATTGAGATGGACGGGGAGTTTATTGAAACCCCCTTTCAGCATTTTGAAGAGGTACCTCCAACATTGGCAGCAGCGGAAACAGTGGTCGAAGAGGATGTTCCTTTGAAGATGGCTTCCTTGAAGGATGCCCGGGCTGTGATCAAGAGAGGTGAATGTGATAACTGGGGCAGGCTCCCTGATTTTACACAAAAAATTGACAAGTTTGGACTGGGTTTTACCGCAGAGGGTCAGAAGGCTGTGCGCAAGGCAAAGACCAGAAGACCTCCTGTGCTCATTACCAATCCAGGAGTGAATGCTGTTAGGGATGAAGATGAAGTGGGAGAGTCAGAGTTCAATAGCTGGATCTACCCGACGATTGACGGTGGATTGACCAATTAGATTTCTAAAGATCATACTCCTGTTACTTTTGTTACGCAATAATAAACTCCTTTGTTTTTTGTTTTTTGTAATAAACAATTAAAACTCTATGGCCCGGTGTCTTACCCGGGGCACCGTGGCTTCATTTGTGAGGGCATATTAATTGTCATTTCATATATCATGAATAAAGACCTTGGACGTTTCCTCGCATTTCAAATCTTATGCTCCTTTTCTTTCTTTCCTTTCTTTATATATTGCAAAATAGTTGTATTTACACACACTCACTCATACAGGTTTCAATCCACTCTGGATCTCACTGGTAACGACTCTGCTACTGCCAGTTATGACTTCGAAAATCCAATCAACTTAGCCGAAGACGAAGGTGAAGATGATTGCGAAGTGCCTGGCGAGCTTGCAAGACTGTTACTCCAGGAAGAGAGGGCAATTCAACCCCATGAAGAGCCGGTGGAAACAATAAATCTGGGTACTGATACAGACAGGAAGGAGGTAAAGATTGGTTCCAACCTAGAGGTCAGCGTGAAGCAACGGTTGACTCAGATGCTACATGATTATGTGGAGATCTTTGCCTGGTCCTACAAAGACATGCCCAGGTTGGATACTGACATTGTGGTCCATCATTTGCCTACCAAGGAAGACTGCCCTCCGGTTAAGCAAAAGGTCCGCCGTATGCGTCCAGAGATGTCTGAGAAGATCAAAGCCGAGGTTATGAAACAGTTTGACGCCGGGTTTCTTGCAGTGAATTCTTACCCTCAGTGGGTTGCTAATGTGGTGTCGGTACCAAAGAAGGATGGGAAAGTCAGAATGTGTGTTGACTACAGGGATCTGAACAGGGCCAGCCCCAAGGATGACTTCCCTCTACCTCACATTGATGTCCTGGTTGACAATACTGCTCAGCACAAAGTGTTTTCTTTCATGGATGGTTTCTCAGGTTATAATCAGATCAAGATGGCTCCTGAAGACATGGAAAAGACTACCTTTGTTACTCAGTGGGGCACCTTCTGCTACAAGGTCATGCCATTTGGATTGAAGAATGATGGGGCAACCTACCAACATGCCATGGTTGCTTTATTTCATGACATGATCCATCATGAGATAGAAGTGTATGTTGACGACATGATCGCAAGGTCCCAGACTGAGGAAGAACACCTAGATCATCTGCAGAAATTGTTTGACCGACTGAAGTTGTACAAACTGAGGTTGAACCCGAACAAGTGCACCTTCTGGGTAAGATCAGGAAAGTTGCTAGGCTTCGTTGTAAGTGAAAAGGGTATTCAAGTGGACCCTGCCAAGGTCAAAGCTATTCAAGAGATGCCAGTTCCTAAGACAGAGAAAGAGGTCAGAGGCTTTCTAGGACGCCTGAATTACATTGCTCGGTTCATCTCACACCTAACTGCTACCTGTGAGCCAATCTTCAAGCTGCTGAAGAAAGATCAGGTAGTACGTTGGAATGATGAATGTCAGGCCGCTTTTGACAGAATCAAAGAGTATCTCCAAGAACCACCCATTCTTATGCCACCGGTTGAGGGGAGACCTCTGATACTATATCTGACAGTACTTGACAACTCAATGGGGTGTGTGTTGGGGCAGCATGACGAGTCTGGCCGAAAAGAGCACGCCATTTATTACCTTAGCAAAAAGTTTACCGACTGTGAGACCCGATACTCACTGCTTGAGAAGACTTGCTGCACTTTGGTATGGGCTGCTCGCCGGCTGAGACAGTATATGCTGACTCACACTACCTTGTTGATCTCAAAGATGGATCCTATAAAGTACATATTTGAAAAGCCTGCTCTGTCTGGGAGAATAGCAAGATGGCAAATGATCTTGACAGAATACGACATCCAGTACACAACTCAGAAAGCCATCAAAGGAAGTGTATTGGCAGACCACTTGGCACATCAGGCAGTAGACGACTATCAGTCAATGAACTTTGAATTTCCTGACGAGAGTATCATGATAGTGACTGATTGTGAAGTACCTGGACCGGATGAAGGACCTGAGGAAGGATCCCGATGGTCTATGCACTTTGACGGAGCCTATAATGCTTTGGGTAACGGTATCGGCGCTGTGATCATATCCCCTCAAGGCACTCATACTCCACTCACTGCCCCGCTATGTTTCAACTGCACCAACAACATGGCGGAGTATGAGGCATGCATCATGGGTCTCCAAGCTGCAATCGACTTAAGGATCAAGTTTCTGGGTGTCTTCGGAGATTCCGCTCTCGTGATCAATCAGATCAAAGGAGAGTGGGATACGAAACATCCGAACCTTATTCCTTACAGAGAATGTGTGTTGACCTTGATCCCCCACTTCACAGAGATAACTTTCGAACATTTCCCAAGAGAGGAGAATCAGTTGGCGGACGCGTTAGCTACGATGTCCTCTATGTTCAAGGTCAAATGGGACAATGAGGCTCCCCAGGTCACTATCTAGAAACTGGACGAACCGGCATACTGTTGTGATCTTGAGACTGAATTGGTGACTGAGAAGCCTTGGTACCATGAGGTGAAGAGATATTTGGAAGCTCAGGAATACCCTGAAGGTGCGTCTGTCAACGACAAGAAGTTTCTAAGAAGGTTCGCAGCAAAGTTCTTCCTTAGCAACGACATTTTGTATAAGCGAAACCATGATTCGACCTTACTGCGTTGTGTGGATAAAACTGAAGCAGAAAGGATCATGGAAGAGCTACACGAAGGGACATTCGGAACACATTCCAGTGGACACACTATGGCAAAGAAAATCCTTCGGGCAGGGTATTTCTGGTCCACAATGGAAGCTGACTCTTACCAACACTCTCGGACATGCTATAAATGCCAGATATACGCAGACAAGGTGCACGTTCCTCCAGTTCCTCTAAATGTTCTGACTGCGCCTTGGCCGTTTGCAATGTGGGGCATAGATATGATCGGCGAGATTAAACCTACAGCGTCCAATGGGCATCGCTTCATCCTGGTAGCGATCGATTACTTTACAAAGTGGGTTGAAGCAGCTTCTTACGCCACAGTAACCAAGAATGTTGTGGCACGGTTCATTCGGCATAACCTGATTTGTCGATACGACGTCCCAGAAAGAATCATTACAGACAACGGTACCAACCTCAATAACAGGATGATCACTGAGCTCTGCGAGCAGTTTAAGATACATCACCACAACTCTTCTCCTTACAGACCGAAGATGAATGAGGCTGTAGAAGCAGCAAATAAGAACATCAAGAAAATCATGCAGAAGATGACAGTGACTTATAAAGATTGGCACGAGATGCTACCGTTCGCTCTACATGGGTACCGTACCTCAGCAAGGACGTCAAATGGGGCAACTCCTTTCTCCTTGGTCTATGGTATGGAGGCAGTCTTACCGATCGAAGTGCAAATACCCTCTCTCCGGATAATGAAGGATGCAGATCTGAACGAAGATGATTGGATCCAGACACGACTTGATCAGCTAAACCTTATTGATGAAAAGAGACTTGCTGCTATTTGTCATGGTCAGACGTACCAGAAACGGATGATCAGGGCATTTAACAAAAAGGTCAGACCACAAGAATATCAAGTAGGGGACCTGGTAATCAAGCGAATCATCCTTCCTCAGAGTGATCCAAGGGGCAAATGGACCCCTACGTACGAAGGGCCGTTTGTGGTTAAACATGTGTTCTCAGGAGGAGCCATGATTCTAACCAACATGGATGGTGACGACCTTCCTCACCCCGCCAATGCAGACATAGTTAAAAGATACTACGCATGAAAAAGACCCGCTAGGTTGACATACCTAGGCAAAAACTAGGGCTTCCCGGCGAACCAAAAGGGTTCGGGCAAAAATAAGGGATGAAAATAAAAAAATTTGTACACCCGGTAAGTCGAAAACCTGAAAAGGCGGCTTGGGCAAAAATGGGTATCCCGGTGGACTGAAAACCCGAAAGGGTGGTCCAGGCAAAAGTTAGGGATAAAGCGTAATACTATGTCTCATTGGATCACCTTGCATCCAGAATCCGGTATCTACAGCAAGTTCAGACGGCATCGGTCAATCAGCTTCATCTTCGACTAGGTCATCAAGTGATGAGACGCTCGGAGATATAAAGGCAATAGCAGAGTTGAAACCCAGTGGATCATTCATTTCACACAGCTGTTTTATTTTTCCTTTGTACAAATTGTATAAACTCTTTTGTTCGGCGGCTTTCTCTTACTAGGACGTCAGCCTCTTGTACATAAACGCCTATTTTACAGGCAAATTCAAAATCAATACAAAAATCACTTTTCAGTTAAAATTGCCAATTGTTTTTCCTTTTCTGTTTCGTGTTGCGAAGAACGTCCAAGGTTCAATTTGTGATATATGCATTGACAATAATTTGCTCACTCATGAATATTTGCATACAAAACAAAGGATCAATTACAGGTAACAGTAGAAACAGGGGCAATAAAGAGTTGTCTAAGCAATCTAATTGTTCTGTCCTCCAAGGTATCAAGGTGGGTTCGGCTGAAGAACATAACCGTTACATCTTAATTCCCCAGAGAGTGAGTCAGCAAGTCGACGCACTCTCCCCAAGAAAAGTTACAATCGACCTCAAGGAAGTTGGGTATCCTCCAGCAGATCTCAACATTCCCCAGCATGATATACAGACATTCCTAACAAGCATCCCCGACAGTCTTGACCTAAAGATTGTTCCCCGGCGGTATACCAGGCATTCAACAGAGTCACTTCCCAATACGTCTCAAAATTTCCCCAGGAGAGTCCAATCCAGTCTCCCCAGGAAAGGTTGAATCATCTCCCAAGCAGTAAGCTTATCCCCAGTAGATTCTGGAAGCTTATCCCCGTAGAGCACGAACGCGTCCCCCGGCTTTATTCAAAGGTCATTTCCCTACCAGGATATAACTGGGTTATCCTTAGCCAAAAGCCACGGAAAGATCGTCCTCGACGAAATCTTCTTATCCCCAGCGAAGTCTATTAACACTTCCAACACAACAACGGAATCCCCGGCGGAGTTACCATCAATATCTCAGCAAAGTACCTCTCTCCCCACAGAGTATTTCTCCCCAGCAAGATCATTAGAGTACTTTTCTCCCCGCAGAGTAATCCATTCGCCAAGTTTATTCCCCAACGGAGTTATCTTCTCCTACCGGTATTCTTGCAACTATCATCCCCAGCGGAGACAAATATTCTACTCTTCAACATTAGCCCAGGAGTGACTTCCCGGCACCCGTCAAGGATTTACTTTCCTAGACGACAAACATACGTTCATAAACATCGCATTTTCATACATCATAGCATGCATATACGCATCATATTTTACAAATCTCGTTTATGTTGAGAACATCATCGCTTGATTCATATCATGCCTTGCATATGACTTACCTTTACCTTTCAGGAAAGATCCAGTTAAGTTCTCAGCTATATTTCAAAGGCCTTCGCTGGTTCAGTCAGATCGACCCTAAGATCTCCCTGTTTCTTATCCAGTTGAAGATTCCAAGACCTTGCCTGGTTCAGTTAAATCGACCCTAAGATTTTCCTGTTTCTTATCCAGTCAAAGGCCTTCTCTGGTTCAGTCAGATCGACCCTAAGATCTCCCTGTTTCTTATCCAGTTGAAGATTTCAAGACCTTGTCCGGTTCAGTTAAATCGACCCTAAGATTTTCCTGATTCTTATCCAGTCAAAGGCCTTCTCTGGTTCAGTCAGATCGACCCTAAGATCTCCCTGTTTCTTATCCAGTTGAAGATTTCAAGACCTTGTCCGGTTCAGTTAAATCGACCCTAAGATTTCCCTGTTTCTTATCCAGTCAAAGGCCTTCTCTAGTCCAGTTAAATTGATCCCTAAAAGATTTTCCTGATAAAGACTCAGTAGAAGATATCCAAGATTCTCCCAGCGTTACTGTTGAGGTAGTAATCGTCTCCGGATTCTCTCAGCGTTACTGTTGAGGTAGTAATCGTCCCCAGATTCTCTTAGCGTTCCTGTTGAGGTAGTAATCGTCCCCGGATTCTCTCAGTGTTCCTGTTGAGGTGGTAATCATCCAAGGTTCTCTCACCGTTCCTGTTGAGGTAGTAACCATCCCTGGTTCATTCATCGCCGTTTGAAGCTCCAGATTCAATTCCTGTAACCAGTCAGGGCGCATCTATACAAAGAATTTGAAGACCAATTCCTGTAACAGGCCAGGTACTCATTTTCTTTTTCAGGTACACAAGTTCTCGCTAAGGAATCTCTTACGCGATTGACACCCAGATGGCATCTATAAGCCCATCCACCTTCCATCATCTCTTAGCATGGCATCTATAAGCCCATCATCCTATCCACCAATCTCCAAATGGCATCTACAAGCCCATTCCCACCATCACACTACTATATGAGCGCAAATTTCTGGGCACTCTAGTGTTCAATCATCTTCCACCTTCGGACTACGAAAGGCACGTCAGCCAATCTGCATCCTCAGGTCTAAGAAAATTGAACAGGGGCAACTGTTGTACCCCAAAATTTGCCCTCCCATATTCTTCAAGAATTGCAAAGAGCATGCTTCAAAATCTCCCCAAGGGTTGCATAGTTCAAAGGCCTCCTAACAGTCAAAAACTAGGTTTTTGATTCTGACAAAGAAATTGAAGTTTCCAAGGGTCCAATCAAGTCCCACATGCCTATAAACATGGTCAAGCATCCTCATGCTAAGTTTCAAGACTTACAGCACAAAATTGCACAGTCAAAAACCCTAATTGCTCAACAGTCAACTGCAGGGGCAAAATGGACATTTGACAGTCAAAAGTCCAAATTTTTGGTCAACATCTTATTTTGAAACCACAAACATCATTTGATCAATGCTTGATCATGATTCTCAAAGTATGGCTCAAAAAGTCTCAAGATGCAAAAGTTTCCATATTTGGACAGTTGAAAAAGTCAACTGTAACTTGACCAGGGCATAACTTCCACATGGTTTATCAGAAAAATTCCATCCAAAACTCATTTTGAAGAGAAAGACATTTCCTATAACTCCTCTTCACACTTCAAGTCCATGAAATGCTCTCACAAAAAGTTATCAATTTCAACATTATAGGTCATTTTCAAAAGTCAACAAAAAGGGACTTTAAGTGAAAGACCATAACTTGAGATTGGTAGATCCAAATGACATGGGACCAAATCCATTGGTTATACGACTTCAAGACCTTTCCAAAATGTCCAAGAACATGATCAAAGCTTAAAAATTGAGCAAGATATGACTTGTGGAAGTTGGGAAATTTTTGGGAATTTTGAAAAGTCAACTTTGCTTCAAATGCCTTAAAATTGCTAATGGGCCACAATTTCTTCCAAGAATCATCATCCAAAGGCTATGCACGACCATTGGCCCAAAGGGAAGTTATTTCATCATTTTTTATTATTTATTTGAATTTTTAATCACCATTAATTCATTTAATTAAATAAAATATGACAAAAATAGCAAAGCATGTGTTTTGAATCTTGTGATACAGCTAATAGACTCCTTAAAGACTCAAGATCTCGTGCATATCAAAAAAGGAAATATTTGGTGCAAATTGGCATGTTCTTCATGAAGAAAATATTGAAAAAGATTCATAAAAATCAAATTTTGAAAACCATTAAAGACAAAGCTTTGGGCTTGGATTATTGACCAAAATCGTTCCTTATACAAGCACAAACCTAACCCTAATGCAGAGAACCTTGGAGCTGCGCCCAAAAACTCAAACCAACTTTACATTTTTCATCAAATTTTTCAAAACTGAAAACGACATTGCATGGAGTTTCAAGGCGAAAGAACTATTCCAAAAGCTTCCCAAGGTTACCAGGAATCGTTTCCAATCAGAATCACACTTCCATACTCAAAGAATTGGTAGATGGGAACTTGACTTTCTTTTAAAAATTGCATATTCGTGTTTGAATTTATACATACTTTTCATGCATTTTAATGTTTGAACTATACTAATGTGATGATTCTAAAGCTAATGATGTGATTCAATTGGAGAATGGTGGTCTGAATAGGAAGTTGCCATGGATGCTCTTTAGGGTTTCTAAACTGTGAAATTAGGGCTTTGCGTTTGGGGAAAAATTGGCCAACAAGACCAGGACCATTGGACTCAGAAGCTTCACACGAATTTAACACATATGTCGCGCTCAATTTATGAGCAACCATGGCGTAATCGCTATTTTCTTATACTGTAGTTAGTGGGGGTTCAAAACCCCCGCTATTTGATATGTTTTTTCAGGCAAAAGCAAGGGCGTGGTGGAGAAGACGCTGAGGTGTCTCAACCATACAGGGCCATTCATATTTTCGCGCATTTTTTCATGTTTACCAAATAACGTTTGTTCTCTCTCATATGAATCAGATTCCATTAATATTATAAAGAGCGCGCTTGGCACAGTTGGTTGATGCGTTGTCCCTTAAGCACTGGGACCTGGGTTCGATTCCCAGGTCCCCCATATTTCTCAATGAATTTTGTTTTAATGTGATTCCATGCAGTGTACGCCCAGGGGTTCATCATACACCCACTATCCGAGCGTGCCACATGTCTCAGAACATCAATTCAATGGCCATGATCTGAGGAGCACCCTATGCATTGGTCAATGGAGCCACACGTGACCACCAAAAGTCAACCAGGCCTCCAATAAATGGGCCAAAAAATGCTGGAAAATACCTCCAAATTGGGGTCAACACCCCACATTGGTTTGCTTTTGTCATTCTCTTCATTTTTTCTATTTTTATTTGTTTTATTTAGTTTTAATTTCAATTCTTTAAATTAATTTTTCATAACATAAAAAAATAATTAAAAAAATCAGAAAGACAAAATAAAAAAATATATTTTATTTAATGCTTTTTTTTGTAAATAAATTTTATTAATTAATTTAGTTTTAATTCTAGGTTTAATTTTAATATTTTTCGTAATAAACTAAAAAATGTAGGATTAGGGTTAAATACTTTTATTCTTTTTCTTTTCTTTTACCATATTTTATTATCAATTATTTTGTAAATAAATTGCCATATAAATAATTAATATATATTAGGTCAAACTTAAATATTTTCTTAATAAATAAAAAAAACAATTTAGAATTAGGGTTAATTAACTTTTCTTTTTAATTTCACTTAATATTCTTACTAAAATCCATAAATACAAAAAACCTCAAAAATAATTTCCTTTTCTCATTTAACTTAATTAATTTATTAATTGTAATTTAATTTCCTTAAAAGGGTCCAACGCCCTCGCATTCGATCACAATTCTATTTCGCGCGCTTATTTTATTTCCTTTTTATAAATTTCATGTAATTATCCCAAAGCCATGTAATAGATTAATTAGACATTTATCTTTCCGTATTATTTTATTTTATTTCAAATCGGGTCTTGGATTTATTTGGCGATGTAGACCCGCGCCTTTGTAATAGCGTAGGACTTTTTAATTCCACACCTTTTAACTGTTAATTAATTCGCATGAAAGAATGAATGCCAAAAATAAAAAATAAAGCGTAGATCACCAATGCATGAACAAGACAAAAATATCTGAAAACGACACACAAATCACACACCACCCCTAGGGTACGCCTCATTGTTGCCTTGCCTCTCGAAAGGTGGTCGTCGAGTAGAGGTTGTTTTAGTAAGTCCTCATGTCCATGAACATGGCATGAGGGTAGCTTCTAAGGTGTCTTCCCATTGCTCTGGTGACCACCATGTCCCGAATCCTCGAATTGACCCGAACACCTCCAACGGTGGTGCTACCTACCTCTCAATGGTGGGATGGCACTACTTCAAGGACATTTACACAGACGAATTCCTTAGGGTAGGTAGATTCTCGTAGATACTTGCTCTAATTTCAAAACAAATCAAAAATCTTTTTTCACACCGACACCTTTTTAAAAAGCTTTAAAAAGCAATCTTTCAAACACTCTTGAGGACTGATACAAGAGTCGAACTGGAATTTTCAAAGAAACTTTTTTTAAAAAACCACAGTTGAAAAGCAAACAAACAATTTTGAAAACACAGATGAGCAAGTATCTAAGAGCCCATGGATAACCATGGATAGAAAGGGTGCTAACACCTTCCCTTTCTATAAATCTACCTCCCGAACCGAGAGCAATCTCTATAAGGAATTTTTATGTGCTTTTGTCCTTTCCATTTGGAGAAAATAAAAGACGGTGGTGACTCTTGCTTCCGCGACATTTCGCGAACCAGCGTTAAACGGTCAGTTCCAGATCCACCGATCACAAGCCCACTCTATTTCCATAATGATCTTGAGGATGTGAACTTTATGCCTTCTTTTATATTCAAAGTGTGAAAATGGATGGAAGATGCCATAAGGATGCAAAATATTATAGGTCATTTCATGATTTTTTTTCCAACTTAAACAATTTATAACTCTCTCAATTTTTGGAGATTTTGAATGGTTCAAGTTTCAAAATGTCATTCAAGAGGTCTATTTCATGCCATATTTTTTGGTCAAGAGCAAATTCCAAGAGGAATGCCATGTTTGGATGCAAAACATTATAGGTCACTTTTGAAGAAAAACTTGAAATATTTCTAAGTATGGAAAGTCAACTTCTTTTTCCCAACTTTGACTCATTTCAACTTTCAGCTCAAACATCCATTTGATTCCATTCTTTTCCCATTTCAAAGCTTGTAACCTCATCTTTCTAAAGCATCAAGAATCATGCCTTAAGACCCCTTGAGCTGAGAATGCCATTGGATTGAACTTGGTAACTTGGAACTGAAGTTTCTTCATAAGTCAGAATTTGAAATTCATGTTTTGGCCTCTAAACGTCAAATTAGCACGTGTTTGTGATCTAAACATGTTTAACCAAGTTACCAAAGTGGATTAGAGCCTTAAAACGCAAGGATTGGATGAGTTTTGATGCAAATCAGATCACACTTTGCTCGTGCATCAGGTTCACACGATTTCCCTCCAACCTTCATCATTTCACACGCTTGAACATTCCATTTGATTTCCTATAAATAGAGGGTCATCCCCCATTCATTTCCTCAAGCTTTGAGAGTCAAATACACTCTGTTAAAACCTCACACGAGCTTCAAATTTTTGAAATCATTTTTTGAGATTCCAGCATTTTCTTCCAAAATTCTTTGCACATTCATCTTCCTTAAGCATCATACAAACTCTCCAACACTTAAACCAAGAAAAACGAGCTATAATTCAAGCTACAAAAGTCCAGTTTCAGAGCTTCTTTCTTGAACTTTTTAAAAGTAGAACTCTCCACCATTTGGATCCAAACAAAGCACCAACCTGTTCTACTTCTTCTCCTTATTCTTATGCTTCTTACAATTTTTAAATCCATTGAGAATTGAGAGAGAAATCTGAAATTGAAGGTGGTCGTTATTTTCTGAGTTTTTGATTCATATCACTTTTCATACCTTATATAAATTTGGTGTGATGGTGGTGTTAGGATCGTCTTGAAGAGACGAATCCAATTATACTGGTCTGGGATCCTAATTTTTCCATTTGAAAGATCTCACAAAATCTCCATTGCAGGGTAGCTGGAGGTTGAAGACGATGACATGTCTCGTCTCAGCCAATGATAGCGTGCCAAACGTTTTAATTTCATTGGTTGCCCTTTTTCTGATCCTATGTGTATCTCACTAAGGTCTATATCAAGCACAACGCGTCTGGTCCATTGGATTAGCTTACTAACGCGTTTTGATAATGATCTGATGGCCCATATATTTTTGGTTTTATTTTATTTTCTGATTTTATATTTTAATTGAATTAATTTTCAAAAATTCATAACTCTTTTATTTTTTATCCAAAAATTATGAAAAAATTCACAAATATACTTTGAATTATTTCTGATCTCATGACTATTTTTTCACATTTTTATTTTGAAATTTGATATATTTTTATATTTTTTGCATTATTTGCTTCCTTTTAATTACTTTAAAAATATTTTCTGATATTTTTGTATTCTCAAAAATTTTATAAATATCATTTTACATATTTCTGACTTTTTGAAAATTTTATGGAATTTTATATTGATGCTTACTATTTTTGATCTATTTTCTATTTGTTTGAGCAATTTTAATTAGTTTAAAAATAGTTCATGAGTTTAAAAAATTACCAAAAATTTTATAAAAATATTTGAGTCCATATCTGATTTTTTTTATGGTCCTGCTTATTTTTTCTTGATTAGTTTGAACATAGTTCATATTTTTCTTTCTTATTTCCTTTTTAAAACCTTTTTAAAACCTTTTTTTAATGTATATATTAAATGCAATATTATTTTGTGATTATTTTCTGGCTGATCTTGGGTTGAATTTTTGATCATGGACTTTGTTAACATCATTGGATCCATGGTGTTGAGTTTAACTCCATAAAAATGGATGAATGATTTTAATAATAGTTTGATTAAAATTTAATTCAAATGTGGTTTATATTCTTTCCCACCCCTCTACATCTCATCCCCCTCTTATTGCACTAAGTGTTATTGGAGCATGATCTCTATATCATGTCTAAAAAAATGGTGCATAGATTGCTATTGACCGGCCTCAAAATAGGTGCGACTTCTATATAATTCCACTTACGATTGCTTAACATAGCGCAAAATTTTGTCCCGATTCGAATAAATGATCATTTGTGGCCCAAACCTATGTTTGCAAGCCCAAGTATGTTTATTTGATCTCTTTGATCCAATAACTTTGAGATTCATTGTGTGGAGGCTTTGGTTCTACCAATCCTCTAATAGATCTACAACACTTTTGGTCAACGTGAATCACTTAAACATCGTTGATCATTTAAGGGTATTTGTAAGAATTCCAAATGGATGATATACTTAACAAAAAGCAAATGAAACTTGTTGTGTGGAGGCTTTGGTTCTACCAATCCTCTAATGAGTTCCAAATGCAAGTTTCAAGATGGTCATCCAACTAACCACTAATTATTAAATTCCTCTACTTTATGCTTCTATTTCTTATGCTTTATGTACCATTTACTTTAAGCATTACATTTCATAACATTTTTATTTTTGCTCACTTGAGCATTTACTATTCTTGTTATTTTTATTTTGCTCACTTGAGATTTTCTTTTTTAAGACACCTAATAATCAACATGAACCATAAAAAGCTTTAATGATAATTGGACTATTTGGTTACTATCCTTGGCATTGTGGAGTATTGGACTTTTTGGACTTAGGATTAGAAACCTTGACCTATGTTGGAGACCTTATGACCTTAATTGATATTCTGTCTGGAGTTCTTGAGGCTTACCTCAAGACATTGGGTTGTTTGTTTTGTGTGAAAGTCATTGTGATTACATTCTTTGTTTGTAATATGGAATTCACCCTTATACAGTCGTTACTCTGCCCAATTTTTGTGAAGACTTAATACATTTGAAGTTGGTTCTCTCAAGAGATCTAGTATCTTTGCTTGTTTGAAAGAATGGCTTATATCGAAGCCTGCTCAGACGAAAGAGATGTCGAAGATGATTTTTCAGAGGTTGAAAAACATAAGATAGATCTTGTAGAGTTAAATCAAGGACCACCATATCCTTGCAAAGTGTTAACGCCCGCGAACCGAAAAAATCCCATTGAACCAGAAAGGAATGACAAATTCCGAAAGAAAACCTATACTTTAGACATCACCAAGTGTAATGAAATATTTGATTTGTTAGTAAAAGATGGCTAGATGATAGTGCCCCCTGGTGCTAAAAGTCCTCTGTTAGAACAACGGAAGAAAATGGGCTTTTGTAAATATCACAATTTCTTAGGCCATAAAACCTCACAATGTTATCTTTTCAGGGACTTGATATAGAGTGCTATCGAGGAAGGAAGGCTAATGTTCGGAGCGAAGCCCAAGAACCTGATGAAGGTCGACACAGATTCCCTTTAGATTTCTTAGACAAACTTTGCAGAGCCTGTAGATAACAACATGGTTGATGTTGTCGAAATCAAAGGAGGACAAGTTGATGCAGACAAGGTATCTGAAGATACTCAGGGGCTAGAGACTACTGAGGGTCTCATGGGCCACGAAGAAGGCAATGCTAATGTTGGCAATTCCAAAGTTATGGGTAAGGCCAAGACTACTGAGGGTCTTAGAGTCAGATTCGAAGAGCTTGAGATTGCTGAAGGTCCCATGTTCAAGGTAAACATGGTGGATCTGAACCAGCTGTCCCCAGAAATGGCAGAGATCGAAAGACATTTGAAGATTAAGAATGATAGGATGTGAACTGGGCACCAAAAAGTAAGCCTGGTCGAGTATCTCTTTCATTGTCATACGAAGAATCCTGAAGGACTAGTATGTCCTAGGTGCATCATTATGAATGATCAAGGCGCCGCGGCAACATAGCAGAAAGTGTACCAAGAGAGGGCTGGAAACAACTGGAGAAGTGATAAAGAGTTGTTGCCATAACTAAAAATGGCAGAAAGCTTGATGGGTTTTCTGGTTCGCTGTCATAAGACAGGATCAGAAGTCTTAATGTGCCCATGGTGTAGCGATGTTTATGATAGAAAGGCAGCTGAAGCATTTGAGAGAATTTTGTATGCTCAATGCTGGAACAATCGAAGGAGTAGTAGGGAAAGGTATGTAACCAATGCAAAAGGAATTCTGAAAAGGGCAGATAGCCCAAACCCCAAAGTTAATCGACAAGTCACCTTTAAGCCACCAGCCAACATCCCAACAGACAAGTGGTTGAAGTTCAGTCAAAGCAAGAGGGAAGGAAAAGGCAAAGGGAAATGGAAGAGTTTCGAGGAAGGTGGTAGATCAGGGTGGGCATATCGAAGGCAGTTCCAGTCAACGAAGCAACAAGCCTATGTGTCTGAGAACTATAAGGGAAAAAACCCAATGACAAGGTCCCAATGGCGAAGATACCAGAGGACCAAGAGGGCTCAAAGAGAACTCACAAGCAACAAAGTAGGCGAATCAAGTATGAATCAGACTTCGTCTGCTACACCTGTCGAAAAGAAGTCCCCAGCACAAAGGAGGCTTTTCCCCCAAAAAAGATAGAGGTGTCCGTCTAAAGGACTATAAAGGAACCAACTAACGAAGAATCAACCAATGAGGAGGACATGCTTAGTGACAACTTCGACACAGATGTGGAGTCCTCTTTGAATATCAACTGTAATGTAGTTTCTATACTACCGCATGAATATGACCAAGTGACGGAGATAGAAGATTCTGAAGAAGAAGATGAATTAGAAATGGTGAAGCAAAAGCCTGTGTGCTATTATGTTATGAATAACGGAGCAATCGAAGAACAAAATGTGTTTTTTGAAAGACCAGACTAGGGTATGAAGAATCACCTGAAGCCTCTATTTATTAGAGGAAAGATCGAACAAGTGGGGATCAACAAAGTGATGGTAGATAGGGGTGTTGTTGTCAACCTAATTCCTCTGTTCTTGCTGAAGAGGATAAGTATGTATGATACAGATATAACACCCCATAATATGGTATTATCTAACTACGAAGGGAATATTGGTCATACTCTCGGCGTAGTTCAAGTCGATCTCACTGTAGGAACCATTACAAGACCAACTATGTTTATGGTCAGAGCGATGAAGACAAATTACAACTTACTCTTGGGCCGTGAGTGGATTCATGGAATAGGCGCAGTTCCTTCCTCAATGCACCAACGTGTGGAAATTTGGAGAGAAGATGGACTTGTGGAAAACATCGAAGCTCACCAAAGTTATTACATGGCAGAGGTGAATCAAGTTGATCGAAGAAATTTTGATCAAAATTTGGCCAACATAGGGCCTTGCAGTGCTGCAGACGGCGCATATGCGTTAAACAACAATGTTATGTATTTTCTGACCCTACATCCAAGGCATGGATTTTGCTGGGATAGGGAGACTCTGGGGAAAGAAGATGATGCACCTGGACTCCCAGGAATACGGCCTACAGGCTGGGATGGCGAAGACAATGATCATGTCTGAGTTCTCCTTCTTCGAAAAGATTTCGGCCTATTTGGCTGAAAACAGATTAAAATCGGATTTGGAAGCCGAAGTGAAGATTATGGCTATGGAGGCCAATGAAGAAACAAATCATACAAAAGGACCTGGGGTGTTCTTCAAGCCAAAAACCCCTGACAAAGAGAAGTCCATCGAAGAAAAAGACCAAAGGATGGACGCTATATTCGATATGGCATGTATTCATGCAGGAATTCAGCATGCTCCTGCAAGTGGACTACATTCAATTATCAATCCATGGACTTTTAGAAGTTGGGCATTGGATTTGATTGGAAAAATTAGACCGTCGTCTTCAAAAAATCAGAAATACATTTTAGTGGGAATAGATTATTTCACAAAATGGATAGAAGTAATACCTCTGGTGAATGTTGATCAAGAAAGCATCATTGAATTCATCTAGAGGCATATTTTTTATAGATTTGGAATCCCAGAAACCATTACAACAGATCAAGGATCATTATTTACTGGTCGAAAGATGCAAGAGTTCGCTAAAGATATGGGTTTCAAATTACTAACATCTACGCCTTATTATGCACAAGCAAATGGACAAGTCGAAGCAGCTAATAAGGTAATCATTGGGATAATCAAGAGACATATGGGCAGAAAGCCAAAGAATTAGCACAAAACCTTAGATCAAGTCTTATGGGATTGTCGAACATCCCCCAAAGAGGCAATGAGCACAACTCCATTTCGTCTAACGTTTGGACATGATGCAGTTTTTCCAATGGAGATTTACTTACAGTCAGTCAGAATCCAAAGGAAAAATGAAATACCCACAGATCTCTATTGGGAGATGATGATGAACGAATTGGTGGATTTGGATGAAGAAAGGTTACATGCTTTGGAAATTCTAAGATAAAAAGCAAGAGTAGCCAAAGCATATAATAAGAGAGTAAAGGGAAAAGTCTTCTCAAATAATGATTTTCTTTGGATAGTGATTTTTCCAATGGATCGAAAGAATAAGTTATTAGGAAAATGGTCCCCACATTAGGAAGGCTTCTTTCAAATCATTCAAACATTCACTAACAATGCCTACAAAATCGAAGAACTGTCAGAAGATCAAAGAGTCCTGAAATTTAACAGTAAGTATTTGAAAAAATATAAACATTTTCTTCAAGATTTAAAAATTACGACATAGTAGTAAAGTAGTAAAATAACGAAGCCAACATGGTACAAAATAAAAGGGTGCCAAAATGGCTCTGTCAAAATATTACAAAAGGACTTTATGAAAAAGCTCACGCATAATGGAGAAAAACATTCAAATACAAATTTCAGAAAGGAAAGCTATCCTTCATCTTTTCATACTTCGCCTTCAAGAATCCTAGCCTGCAGTCAATCGAAGCTTTGGTTGTGCAAAGAGCAGTGAGCTCATTTTCTAAGCCTCTAGATTCATCAATGAATTGAACACTTTGAGTCAGCTCTTCATTGGCCTCGTTTTTGTTCATGTCTTCGAGAAATTTCTAACAGTCCTCTGCTTGAGAGATCTGTTTATGCAACTCTTTAATTTGTTGCTTCTGGAGCATGATGGATTTAGCATTCTTATCATGATCCTCTTGGGTGAGCTTGAGAGTTTCTTCGCATTTTTCAGCTTTCTCTGATAATTTGAAGGCCTTGGACCACTTAGTCTCTTGAAGGGTTTGTGTTTCTGTGATCTTAGAATCAAAATTTCTACCCTTGAGAAAATCCACTTCCATATTGTTGATGAGAGTGGTCATGTCGATCAAAAACTCAACTGTTGTAGGGGGGCAATTAACCAGATCAATCCTATTAATGAGCTTCCTTAAAGAGATGCCAACATTGGCATTCGCCTTCACAGCTGCGAATAAGTCGACCCCAAAGGATTTTTCCTTAATCTTTTGGAGAAGTGCTTCATTCGTTTCATCAGACGAAGTGCCACTTGAAGTAGTGGTTGGACTTGGGAAAATACTTTGTGCAAGCGACTCTTTTCGAGCTTTGAAAATTTTGATGTACTCCATAGGCTTAGTATTTTTAAGAAGCACCATTTCTTTTAGTGAAGGAAGTATATCTTCAGTGACCATAGGAATGCATATTTGAGCCCGGGCCACTTCAAGATTGTCAGTTTAATGTGAAATTTGTTGGGGTTGATCATTGTCGTCATCATTGACTTGCATTATTGTATCATCTTTTGTTGGATCTTCCTTCTCAGCAAAAGTTTGGTTGGCTTCACTCGTCGAATCCTCATCTTCATCAGAAACCCCTCTATTTGCTTTTGGGGAGGAATCAGCAGAATGATTTTCTTCCGAGCTTGCGTTATTAGGTTCTTCTTGGACAACAGTGTCCGCCTGATCATCATCAAACTCCTCTGTCTTTGACTTTTGGGAGGAATGAGGTGAAGTTGGGACTTCTTTTTGAAGACCTTGCATGTGAGAATAAGTAGTGGAACCCTTATTGGAATCCTTCGCTGAGGAAGGATGGATTGGTGGAGTGTTGCTGCTATGAAGTACTTCGTAGTGAATTGGAGATTCATTAACTTGAAGTTGTTGATCCTGCAAAGTGAAGTATTAGTCACCAATGAGAAGATTTAAATGAAATAGAAGTCTTACTTTAGTGGAAGATTATTACCTTTGCACCCTTCGCACCAGGGCTCGAATTGTCACTTTCGATTTGCTCCAAGATATGGGCCACATTCAAGGCCACACTTTCCTTCTTTTTCTTTGGTCTAGGGGGAAGTTTTTCGACTGTACAAGTTCCCCATGGATGAGAACCTGCACTAGAAGGCTTCTACTTCTTTTTCCTCTCAAGCTTCTTTGCAGTGTCATTGGAAGGCATTGCATCAGCCTTTTCTGTAGCAGTGGTCGAATCATCAGTGGTATGTTTTCTTTTCTTGGGAGTGAGAGGTGGCTTCCCGATATCCTGCAATAAAGTGAAATGTAAACAAGTAAGTTACATAATTCAAAAGTTAAAATAGGTAAAAGATTAAAAAAATCTACCTTGTTTACTTTGAGTGTTTCTTTAGCTTCCCCGGAGGCATTAGTTGTCGAAGGTTGAGGTTGTGGGATTTCTTTCGCAGACCTAGTAGACGTGGTAGGCTTCACCGTCTTGGTGTGTTTTCTTTCGACATCTGCAAAATAAATGTATGGTTAGAATCATTTTGAGAAGAGAGAAATGTATTCGGAGTAGCCAAGGAGCCCTTGGTTTCTACACCTTCACTTTCTGGGGTGTCCAATCTGACATGTTTTAAGTCCAAGTGAAGGAAGCCTTTGAAACTGTACAAGGTGTGCTTGGTCACAACAACTCGTTTTTCAAGTTTTAGAGCGTCTTGTTTCATGACTTTGAAATCCCCCTTCATGCATAACCAGTTAGGATAAGGTGGATACCAAGCCAAAGCGAAGTCAGCTGTAGGCAATCTGGGGAATTTTTGAGGCTCTAATTGAAAAGCCAAGTCATATCGATCATCAGGTTTGACACACGAAGTTATACTTAAGCGTGGGATTTTTTCTATAAACTTTTCCTTTAAAATCAAAGATGCATCTCGAATGGTTTGACCAAGATCAGTAGGCTTATAGACAATTTTAAAGTACCTTTGGAATGCCTGGATCTCCTTGATGTGTCGATGCGTACCTTTCTTCATCTTGTCATGCATAGAGGCAAAAGCTTTGGTTATATGGTTATTGAAGTTAGTGAAACCAAACATGTTGGAGACATAATATTCTTGCCACCAACTTTCAAAGTCTTGAGTACAGAAAGTTGAAGGTTTGAAGGGGACAAGATTGAGATTGAGGAAGCATGTGGACTTGCTTATAATTTTCTTCGCTTCGACAGTTGTGAAATTCATTCCTCTATGATAGATGTCACTTTTGTGGCGGTACAATGGTTCAGGAAGGATTTGGCAGAGCCCAAATTGTGTTGTGACTGTTGCACCCCAAAATTTTCCCTCCTAATTTCTTTTATTTGGCTTAGACCTTCGCATTCATTCGCATATATTTCATTAGTTCACTAACATAGAATGCACTGCATTCAATAAAGTGCTTGAGGTTCAAAGTTCAGTGGTTGTGCGATATTAGGGTTTCGCAGTGGTTAAGGCATTCGTGTCCGATAAAGGCTGATTTCTTATTCAGGAAGCGAGCAGTGGAATTAGGGTTGTGACCTGGGTCGTTGAGAATTTCTTTCTTCATCAAGTCGCGAGGCTATCAGGGTTTATTTTCCTATATGCGATAAAAGCCAGGTTTTCGGTAATTGTGTTCCAATCGGGTTTTTTATCGAAGATCGTGAGATTAGGGTTTGTTTTTATCAAGGGACTTTCTCAGAAAGCCTTATATTGTGCGTCATGAATTATCATCTTCAAGGTAATTTCTTAAGGATTTTAGCCTTACGCTTTCAAGTGGACATGTTTGTGACTTGAATTCAAAAAGTTGAAGCACAATACAAAATATGATGCGAGAGAGCATTAACTGAGTCAGACGAATATGAATAAAGGCTTTGATTTTAGGCAAAGTCAATATGGAGAGGTTGTTTTCTTGACTGAGTTCATGCAGGAATATTATTGATTCGATTGAATGTTGTGTCATATCTTGAGTTCAGGACTGGTTCATTGAATATGCAAGTTGGTTGGAATTTGTTCACTGAGTCATGAAGAGAAGTGTTTAGAGGATAATCAAATAGTATTAAAGAAATCCAAGTGTTGGTTTGTTTTCAAGAATTTGATTCAATCGAGTTTGGAGACCTTAGTCATAAGAGTTTCTTGGAATGCAAAAGATAAGATACAAATGGCAAGACATAATCATTCATTCTAATTCCATTCAAGTGATTATTTTTTGGTTCAAGTTTTCACTTTCAACATCATTCGAATACCGCTCTAAATCAATCCAAATACACTCTAAACCTTCATTTACGTCATTCAAATTCAACATCTCTATATTCATCATTCATAAAAATTCAAAGTTAAATTCACCCAAACATTATCATGTTGTGTTCGAAAATATCATTGTCTAATTGATGTCACTCAAGTATCAGACCAATTCAAACAAGGTTCATCAATGATATTCAAACCATGTTCACTCCATAAGGACAATTACAACTACATTTTTCCATGTTACATGACCTTTACATCAAAAATAACATGAAAAACCCATTCCTAAACCTTAACACTTAACCTAAACCTGGTGATTACACCTTCAACCTTTATCTAATCTTCATCTTCCATTCTTCATGGCCAAAGATCCTATGTTCCAACCTGCACCCGACTTTAATCTTCAACCATGATTTCGCTTTCACCTTCATCAACCCCATGGCCAAAGCTTTGCTTTCATCTTCACTAGTCTTCGCGTCTAAACTCCTCGCTTCTTCAACCATCTTGAATTCAAATATTATGCTATTCCTTCACATTTTGACCTACATAAAACATAAACAATCTAAATAAGTTCAACATGCTCATTTTGAGTCCAGTCCATAATTCATCAATGTCACATGCTTACTGTCCAAAATTTCAAGTATATAGGCAGCAGCAGAAGCTATACCCTATTTACCCGACATACCTTCAATATGTTTTCCATGCTGGGCAACGAAAGCCTACTGTGCGAATTTATCTGCACCAGTGTCAGACCTAGCCCTACATTTTGTAAACCAGAAAAGTAGAAAGAATCAGCATATAATACAAGCACTAAAGCCACTTTAGTTCGCATATTCGTTACAGAAAATTCAATCAGGAATTATTCATAACAGAAGTACTGGTTTTTCCTAACTGAGTTCCAAACAAGCCTGCTAACTGAATTCGCCAGATTCGTCACTTTTCAGGATCTTTTCATCTTTTCTCCATGACTTCACTGACTTCTCTCTATAAACAAGTTTCAAAACTAATTGCCCCGAATTAATACAAAAAATGATAAGCAGCCCTTCACATTTCAGAAAAAATCAGCAAAGCCCAAAATCTCATAACTTTTTCCAACAAACAGAATTACTAATTGTTAACTGTCATAACCATGCTAACAAACCCCTAACTGTTTATAATTCATTTCAATAAAACATCTAACAAATCTTCTAACAAAATCTCAACAAACTGCTAGAATTGTCAAACCAGGAAAATTTCCTAACAGTTTCTAACAAACTTTCTAACATAGACAGGTTTTAACAAACCAAAAAACGACAAACAGATAAACTAATAGCACCAACTCAGCTTATTCCTAACCTTTTTTCTAACAGAATTCTAAATAAATTCTAAACACTTCCCAACTCTACATAATCGATTCACAACCCCCTAACTTGTTTTCTCTAACAGCCTTCTCTAACAACTTTCAACCTCCTCTAAGAACCTCTCAACAAAAATAGCAGAAATAAAATTCCAGCTACGAGATAACTCCCTAACTGTCAAACTAGCCTGCAACTAACTTCTAACTACTTCTCAACAGAAAAAGAAAAGAGGATAACAAGCTGGAACAAAAGGGGAGAAAGATTCACGATCATTGATTCATACAGAAAAAATACAGAAAACTCACCAGAAAACACTCTCTACTTCCTCTCTCTTCTTTCTCTCCATAACGATTCTGCATCTTCAACCTTCTGCGATTGGTTACCTTCACACATCTTCATCATTCCTGCATCATCAACATCATAACCACTTTTTCTTCTTCATCTTTATCTTCATCCACCAACCTTCACCTTCTCGATAACCATGTAGAACCTTCATCGCCTCTTGTTGCTTCTTTCTGCACAACTTCAATCAACAAACGTGACTGCATCAACAACATCCTCATCAATCTCACTTCAATTTTCCGCAATCCTTCGCATCAATTCAATGGTGACACTCCAAATCAGAAGCAGCGATACGCATCATAAAACACGTAAGAAGCAATCGTATCGGTGAAATTGAAGAATAGAAGAAGCAAAGGGAATGGCGAAACACCTGTCAATCCTAAGCTCGTTGGAAACTCACTTTCCCTGCCGAAGTGCAACCCTCAAGTATTCAATCAGGTTTGCCTTGCATTTGATCTTGCTCGATTGCACATGTTCTGTCTTCTCTGATCTACGCTCCTTCCATCAGAGTTCGAATTCACGAGTTTCTTTTATACTTAGGTTTCTCTTTGTTTAAGCCGTGGTCCCGAATTCAGCATGGGAGATGATGATGAAGTAAATCTCGAAAGGATGAGGGATTGGCTGAGAATTGACGGTGATCCAGGGTGTCGCCGCATTAACAGGTTTCTGCGAGAGATGTGGGAATGAAAGAGGGAACCTAGGGTTCAAAATGAGATGAAAGGTCGATGAACACCACTAATCGGTGTCGTTCATTGCTTCACGGGTCATCAATTTTTGTTCATTTTTTTGTAAAAACTGAAGTTGTTTGTTTAGGCCAAAACGTTGCCCTTAACCCAACGAATACCTCATCATATATCCCAGCAAGATTATGAACCATACCCACTTAGGCCTATTGAATTTTTTTGTTGTAAGCATCTTTGAAGAACTATGATAAAAATATCTCACGGGCTGGGCTAGAACCAGAATTGGGATTGCTATGCAGTAGCATGGTGTCTAATTTGCACCCCTGGTTTTTTTAGTTTGCAAATTTTGGTGAATAAAATTGTTCATTGTTTGGATTTATCCTATTTTCTCATGACAAAGACTAATAAAATCAATAAAAAACTTGTAGTTTTTTTTCTTCATTTATTTTAGTTTTGGGAAATAAAATTCCGATTAGCTGGTTATATTTGAGATTGGTAATTCACCTTTGCTTGTTAAATATGTGAATCTTATGCAGATTTGTTGTACGATATGCGAATGCGCTTGAGATTTCGATTGTGATTTATGTTCACATCGATGATTCTTCGACGTTTATTCTAAGCATTTGATTTCTAACTCTTTTCTTGGATTGGTGAAGCTTTCGCGAAGATCGTCGGGTTTCTTTGTTTTGATAGACTTTGCTACGGATTGATATCCGTTTGGTATTTTCCCTTGTTTATCTCATTTCAGTACTTTACTGTTTTTTAGATATCATGAGAAGTAGGAAATAAAGAGCGTGCGCTCAAAGTCGCTGTTTAAAGACCTGTAGCAGGCATTCCGCACTTCATTTGATATATGTGTTGTGCTTGTGTTTATTTACTTTCTTGTTGATTGATGAGTCACTCAATTTAGAAGTTGAGATCACGACTTCGCTCTCAGTGCATACTCACTATAGGATTCCATTGCTTTCCTTTATTTCTTGTTGATCGATGAGTCACTCAATTTAGGAATTGAGATCACGACTTCGCTCTCATGGCATGTTCCCCATAGGATAGTTTTTCCATACTTTCTTAGGTAATGCAAACCTAGATAGGATCTCTCTAGATGTGATCTCTTGAGCTTATTGGTTTATTTGTTTGATTTCATCTTTGTTTGCATGTTTTGAGATGATATGCCCTCAGCATCTTCCCTTAGGAGCTCTCGATTCATCTATAGATGATGATTCGAGATTGACATAGTTTTAGGTGATAAACCCTTGCTATGCTCCTTTAGGACTTCTTAATTCATCTATAGATGATGATTTAAGATAAAAATTAGGATTGTTATCCAAGCATGTCAACATAGAGTAGAGATTTCCCTTCAAAGCTCAACCTTAGGATTAATCATTGTATGATAACATTAGGGATAGATCTAGGTTAGTCTCCCTTAGATGTTTTATTTTCTTTTGCATCCTTGCATTTAAAACAAAAACTTTCTCTTTCTTTGAAAAATATTAAAACATCTAATAACTTCCAAATCCTTATTTAAGGTAAAATCTATCAACCAATGCAATCTCTTTTGCGGCTTCGGGATTTTCTTTCAAACTTTTCAGAAAGAACATGTTAATTCACTTCTGTGCTGACGCGTAAATATCCAAAGGTCGAGTTGCGGAAGAAGGAGAAATTAATATTGTTCATTACAAAATACAAACCAACAAAAACTTGTTAGCCGAACTACGGCTGCTCTGATTCCTTAAATTGGATACGTAGGCATTGGGGTAGGGCCCGAGTGAGCACAATTTTTATTTTCCCTACATTCTTTTCTCCTTTCTTTTGCATGCATTCCCTGTACAGTTTAGATATAGATTCTTACACACCCATAAGATAGATAAGAAGAGTGGATACCGTAGAGTACTATGGGCATGTGGGGTGCTAATACCTTCCCCTCGCGTAACAGACTCCCTTACCCGATCTCTCGGTCGTTTGATCGTGATTTCACCCTTCTCAGGTTTACTCGATGTTTACCTTTCCACTCTTGTGGGATAAAAACATTCGACAGCGACTTCATTGATTTCATTATCAGTTGATTATTCAGCCAGTTATTTGAGCGACAAAATTAGGTTGGTAAGTAAGTAAAATATTCTGAGTTTTCTTGGGCATAAATCTGGTAACGAGAAGTCTAGGGATCAGGAAAGCTTCCCAAATCTGGAGGGATTATGTATGGTGTTCAGTCGAAAGGTCAGTGAGAGGTCTTATGAACCATTTTGGTCCATGGGTTCTTTGAGCAAATGGTGCCATTGAAGGGGTAAATTTGTGCCTCTTCGCAAACAGCATCAGGTGCCTAGTGAAGCACTCTTTCAAGTTTTGCCCTCCATCATCCAGGATCAAACGAAGTAGTCTAGTTCCTTCAACAGCCCTTTTCTGGATTTCACAGTCAGATTCACCAATTGGGTTTGTATTCGAAAGGGAAGGTTTGAAGGTGACATTGAGCCACAATTGAAGTAGCCAATATGGATCAGCCAATAAAATGTTGGTTTTTGGTTCAAAGTTTTTTAATCTTGTGGAAGCCTCCCCAAGGCTCTCATACAGTCCAGCAAGAATTAGTTCGCTCAAGCAAACATCTCGACTAGCATGGAGTTGGTTGGAGAGGGTCAAAAATCTTCTGGTGACTTGCAGATATTTGCAACAGAAGACTCATCGAGAAAGCCATAAAGCAAGAAAAGCTAGGTTTTCCTGATCACTAACTTTTCCTGTCGATCCCAAGTAGTGATCAATGTAATTGTTGTAAGTGGGAGAAGCATTGCTAAAGTCAATGGAATCATCAGCGTCCAAGGTAGGGTCGAAAGTCTCTCATGTGGGTCGAAGGCCCGTGATTACAGCAACATCGAAGAGCGTTGGAGTTAACATTCTGCATGGTAGGTGAAAGGTGTTATAAGTATTATCCCATAAGTACATGGAAGTTGTTAGCATTAGCTGAGAGTATTCAGGGCCAAACTTCGACAGATGAATCAAGTCGAAGATTCCCAAGTTTTTCCATGTTTTCGATTTCGCTTTCTCTATCCTAGCTAACCATCCAAGGTACTTGTTGTCCTATTTCGATGGACCTGGCCTAAAAGGTCTCAGAACATCTGTGACGAAGTCTAGCTCTTAGGAAGGTTCATTTTGTTCTTTACCCTCTTGAGAAGTATTTTCCTGTGGAATTGTTTCATCTTGTACCCTAGTGTTTTCAGCAGGTTTCTTACTAACCTTAGGTTTACTAGCTATGGGTCTAGTCAAGTGGTAAGCAGGAAAAAATCTCTTGAGTTTTAATATATCTGATACATTGGGTATAGGACCCATATATCCTAAGGTATCAAAAGCACAAATTAAGGGAATCATTATCTGGGAAGCGTAGATGGAAATTTGTTCATTCTTCAGAGATGGTGTGGGAACAAATTCTTGATTTCCAATCATGATGGGTGTTGCTACTTTGAGTAAAAGGTTGGAAGCAGCATCATCTTTGTTTTGTTTACTCTTCCCAAACTTTGATTTCTTCTGGGACTCTATTGGTTGTGTTTTGAAGAAGAAGAAGTTGCAGAAAAGTTTGTTGAACTTTGGAAGAAGAAGGGAGAGCTTTTGATTTGAAAAAGTGCAGAAAAGAGAAAAAACAAAATGAATGGTGTTTGAACAGTTTTTGATGGAAAGAGGGAAGTTGAACTTCTTGAGTAGTGGGACACGTTTAAGGTGATCCTTTGCTTGATGAACGGTTTTTGTAAGTTCCAAAGTTAAGACTATTCATCATAGCTAATGATGAGAATTATAGACACCATATTGCGATTAGACGCTTGGGAATCAAAAGTCATTATTATAATGACGTCCTAATAGTTGAAACGGTTGATGAGTTGTTCAGAAGGTTAAAATTTTAGGAGATTACAAAAAATATTCATTTTTTGTTTCGAAATGAATATTTTTTGGGGGCAATTAATTGGCTGGAAATTTCGACTAAGGAGAAATTGAGCTGAGTCAATGGTCTTAATATACTTAGAGAATTGTTTGGCTATTTTGTTTGTTAAAAGACATGAAGATTCGAATTAGAAATTCATTAAGAGATTGATGGATAGATTATAATTCGAATTGCAAAGTAAAGTTATTATTCGAAACATGGTTTAAGACTTTATGCTTCGACCATTATCAAATTTTATTGGTTTTGGCGCTCAAGACGAATAGCGAAGAGTTTGAATTCGAATATTCATTCTTATCCAGAAGGACGCCTGGAATCTCTTGGATTGTCGAAGACATGCCAGTAGAAACGTGGCATTAGTTTGTTAGGAGACAGTTAGGGTCAACATTCTATAAATTGTAGCTTTTGTGTTTCGATTTAGTGTGTTCACATATTTGTACAAAATAGTCAAAATACTCAAAGTACCAGCGTTAGAGAAAAGATTTAACAATAATGTACATATGATGCACCATATTTTATATTCAATGTCATTTACATTCAATGAAATTTCTTTACATTATTTACATTCTTTACAATTCTCAGTCTAAACTAGTTTATATTTCATTACTTTTATAAATAAGTTTCACTTAGACATGTGAATTGATTCCTTTTGTTTAAAGAGATCATCATCAAAACATGCTTTCTAAATAATATAACACAATAGTCCTGAGATCAATCTGATCGATCTCGTGAGTAACTGAATATATTAAAGGATTTAGAGGATCTGCAGTTGTTTATCAAATTCCAGGGTAAACATGCCCTCAAGGCAAGATGCCACATTTGATTGGTTTGTGTTTTGTTACCTTGAAAAAGGTTTTAAGTGTGATGAGCATGTTTTATGATTTTCTAAAAAGAAATTTTTAATTTTAGATGCATATGCAAAAGGGGAAAGAAAAGAGTCTAAGGGAGACTAGCCTATTTCAAACCCTAATGTTATCATACAATGGTAGCTCTATGTCGAGGATGAAAGGGGAATCTCTACCTAATGTTAGCATGTATGGCTTGTAACCTATTATCTAACATGGATCCGAAATAAGAAAGCACATCCTAAGGAAACATGGTATGTACAAGGATAAAACAAGCAAGCTCGAAAGAGTACACACATAAAATAGTAAGGAAAAGAAGCGAAATGATTTAGCCAAGGGGAGCGTATCACCCGAGACAAACAATAGGGAGTGATATGAAAAAAAAGGGATGTCCAAAGCGATTGAACAACTAACCAAGATATAGGAAATCGAGGTAGGCGATAAAAGGCAATATGAACAATCATAGAGTATCAACATCGGCCAATGCGAACTCCTGACAAAGCGTAGGGGTTCGATTGCAGAACCCTTACCCACTTGAAGACTCAATAACACAAGAGCAGGCACAACTCTGGAGCATCATGGTGCGTCACGAGCTAAGGATGATACCGACGAAATTATGGGGGTTGATTGCGAACCCTTCCCGCTCGCCTCTTTTTGAGGACTTCAATAAGGGATGGAGGAATAATGCGTGCACAAATGTAAACACACTTTCAAAATACCTACACAAAGTTAGGTGTTGTACCCCAAAATTTCCCCTCTCGTTTTTCAATATTTTCCATCACAAGGCTCTTTGAACTCAAGACCAAGTTAGGGTTTGCACTGCTCAAGACATCTCCTTGCACTGATGACCCAAATTAGGGTTTGAGTTTGCACAAGGATTTTTTGACCTTCAATGCTCAAAGTGACTTTCATACTTCATATTGGACTTATAAGTTTGTCCATACCAAGTTTCAAGCCTTGAATCAAATTTTTGCCCAGTCAATTGGACAGTTGACCTATAAATCAGCTGTATTGGGGAAAAAGTCAACTGTGGCCAATTTATAGTCAAATCTCATGAATTTTGACCCACATCAACATTATGAACTCATATGAGCCATTTGATCAAGTTTGGACCACAACTCCACAAGAAATTTGATCAGATCATCAAAAGGGCAAAATGGTCATTTTCAGGGTTTTGACTGCACAAAGGCAATTTCTGACTTTTTGACCTAGCCAATGGCAAATTAGGCTCAACCATGGACTCAAGGAGTCAATGACATCATCTTGACCTATTCAACAAATTCAAAAGATCTCAATTGCATTGGATTGACAGATGAATTTTTCAGTCAACTGATCAAAATTTGACTGTACACTGAAAAGTCAAACTTTGACTTTTTTGGTCAAAATCAAGTGCCAAGGGTCATTTTTCATCAAGATGTGTCAAAACATGAAACTTGTTCATCAAGAAACCCAAAATTGCAAATTAGGGTTTAAAGTTGAAAATTTTCATAACTTAGAATTTTTCTAAGTTATGAAATTTTCTTAATTTTTCCTAACTTTGCCCAATATTTTCACCATGATGCAAATGGATTAAAACAAAACCTCCAACATGAAAGTTGTAGTCCTCCACAAATTCTACAAATTTAATTCACAAAGTTTTCTCAAAAGAAGCTTGGATCTCAAGTTATGATATTGGAACAAGGGTCCCTAAAACTTTTAACTTAGTGAAGTTTTGCCCTAGTTTAGGAAGGATTTTAACCTATCTTCTTGGCCATTTTTCACATAGTTACACTTGGAATCTCAAGTTGCATTTCAAATATGGATTATAGATCATGTTGCAAGCTTTCCAAAATATCCAAGAACTCCTCAAAAACATTTGTGGTTAGGGAGAATCGAAGGCTTGAAGTTGGCAAAAACTCACTTTTCATCCATGGCATATTCATGTTCATACAAGTTGCAATTTCAAGTCAGCATGCCTTACACTAGTTTACAGGCCTCTAAACCACTTCAAACTCAATAATTAAATGCAAATCCATCAGTCTAAGCTTTTGTTTTGGCCATTTGGACATTGTACACAAAACTAAGCCCTAGGTAGAAAAAGGCACATTTCCATTTTTGCCATAATGTGCTTTATGTCAAACCACTATCCCTTGAGCATTGGTCCATATCTCAGAGGGAAAATCAAATCCACAAGTTAGAGGGGCCAAGGGCAATGTATGCAAGCATATTTGATAGCCTATACAGGCCTGTAACTTCACTTCCACATTCTTACTTCAAAAACAAGAAACTTATCTAAAACCTTAGAACTTGAACACCAGCCAAGATAAACTTATGCAAACAGTTTGAACATCTCTCTCACACCCCTTTGAGCTAGAAACACGATTGCTTGAGCCTCTAAACACCACATAGCTAGAAATCACATTCCTTTGGCAAAACAAGGCAGGTTCTGCATTTTGAGTTCCATAGCTCATTTGGCTCGTGCGTTTTTCCCCAAGTTGCTTCAAACACCTTCCATTCAACTCACCTAAGCTATCCCAAACCTCAAATACCAATTGTAACTCCATTCACAGTGTTTTCCATTTTCACTTTGAGCTTGTGCAGGTTGAGTTCTGCATGTTGATTCAAGGACATTCAAGGCAAGCTAGCTATTGGAGAAGGTCAAGTGAAGTTCAAGCAAGCTACCAGACATCTCAAACCTTGTTGAAAAGCATTACATTGCCCTACACGAATCCAACTGAAATAGGTTTTTCTCCACTTTCTATCTCTCTATTTAGGAACATTTAGCCTTAGGTTTGTGAATAAAAAATGTAGTGTTCGTTGCCATGAAGTTGTACATATGCTCAGTTTTCATTTATATTAAGTGTGCTAAGAGAATTTCATCCATGAACATGCTGAAAAAACTAGGTCAGATTTTGGGGCCAGAGAAATTCTCTCTGGTCTTTTAGAGTTAGGACAAGTTGTTTATATGGTAGGAATCGTTTTGAAATTCTCTACAAGTTTGATGTTGTGAGTTTTTGCAATAGAGCTCATATGCAGGATGTCCCAAGTTTGTACAGGCGCGCGCGTTTTTCAAATCTGGAGGTTGAAGATGAAGTGGTGGGCTGGGCTTGGCCTGACTTACTCTTGGCACCCCCCCCCCCCCCCCCCCCCCATTTTCCTTTTTGCACCCCCTGGCTCATTTCCTTGTATTTTTACATTTTTGCATTTTTGTTTTGTTTTCTGATTTTGTTTATTTATTTCCAAATATAAAAAATGCTCAAAAATATTTTCATAATTTTTTCACATTTATTTGGCATTTTATTTTAATTTTTCTAACATAAAAGGCATTTAAATACTTTTTTTATTAAGACTTGAAAAATATATATAATTATACTTTTATTTTTATTTCTTATTTTTATTCACATTGAAGATATTATAATAAATATAATTTATTTTTTTACATATTTTATTTTATTTTATACATATTTAATATAATTAATATATATATATATATATATATATATATATATATATATATATATATATATATATATATATATATATATATATATATATATATATATATATATATATATATATATATATATATATATATATATATATATATATATATATATATATATATATATATATATATATATATATATATATATATATATATATATATATATATATATATATATATATATATATATATATATATATATATATATATATATATATATATATATATATACTTTTATTTTATTAAATACTTTAGAATAAAAATATAAAAATATTACATTTTTACTTTTATTATTATTTATACTAAAAAATACTTTTTCTAAGTATATTTCATTTTGTAAATATTAATATATTCTATTGTATATAAATAATATAACATTTCATTTTATTAAAGAAATTAGGATTTTACCCTTAAACAATTAAAATAAATCTTTTATTTATTTCTTTATTTTTTACATTAAATACTTTTACATACATCAATGAACAAAAACCCCTTTTTGCATATTTCATATTAATTGATATATTTATTTATTTTGAATATTTAAATATTGTCTATTTAATATTTATGCATTGTGAATTCAATTTGGATGTAATAGTAAATTAGAGTTTATATTTCTTGTCAAATATACCCCCATTCAAAAATTGTACCCCCATCCCCATAATCATGTTGTAATAGCTTAGAACTTTAATTCTCGCACTTTACGCTTTCAATTATGCCATGATTAGAGAATTAGGGTTTGTATGCAAAAAAATCCAAATCAACAAATAGCTTGACCTAATCAAAGACAAAAATGCATGAAAATCAAACACAATACACACTTGCACCCCTAGGGTTACAATCCACTTGTTGCCTTAAAAAATGGGCCATGTTATGCATGTTGGGTATTTTGGCAAAACAAAAAACAAAACAAAAGATCATAGTCCCTCGATGACGCTATCTTGGTTTCCTAAACAAAAATGATCAAGTCCCTCAAAAATTGCCAAAGATACTTGACACAATTGCTATCATGGTCTATACGATGACCCGCGCCTGTCCCGTTTAACGTCCTAATACAAGGTTGTTCACCAAATGCAATGGTGAAATAACACTGTCAAAAGGGTTAAAAAAACATAGGAAAGATCTTTGAGTAAAATAGGGTAGATAGCTCTTAGTTACTTGATCAAAAAGCTTTCAAAACATCCTTGCTATTTTCAAACATACTTCACAACACATTTCAAACCATTTCCCAAAAACAAACTTTCAAACATTGAAAAATCTTTTCAAAAGACAAAACACCTTTGTATATATTCAAACAAGAATCATTACAAAGGTTGCCACAATGATGGCCTCTTTTCAAAACATCTTTCAAAACCACACACAAAGCACCATTTCAAACAATTGGAAAAGCAAAGCAAGTGATCTAAACAAGTAACTAAGAGCCCATGGATAACCATGGATGAAAAGGGTGCTTGCACCTTCCCTTTTCATAATCTACTCCCCGAACCCAAGAAAACATCTCAAAGGTCTTTCCTGTGCTTTTTGACCTTTCTTTAGGATAAAATAAAAAGCCGGTGGCGACTCTTGCTAAACCGAAACATTTGCAAATGCAAACGCAAAACCTCAAGTCAGTTCTCCCACCGTATCACAGTAGGGTTTTAAACAAACCACACACAAGTAGCACAAAATGGAAAACAATGCAGAATTTCCCTAAACAGGTCTTTAAATAAACCAGAGGGGTTCTTGACATGATCAGCAACGGAGAACACCGTCATACATCTCTACCCTACTTCTCATGGCATAAGAAAGCAGTAAAGTCTTACTTCTCATGATCTCTAGAAAAGCGATAAAGAAGTGCGAGAAAGTGCGAAGAAATACAAAAGTAATAGCAACAACTACCACGAGCAAGCAAATCATCAAAATCAGACGAAAGCAATGGAGAAGCAGGGAGTACGCATCGAGAAAGCTTCACCAAGAAACAAACAAAGTCAGAAACAATATCTAACTAAGATAAAAGCAAAGGCGTATTGCAACGCGTATTCAGAAGTTCCTGCACAAAGTATCACAAAATATCACATGTATCAGGACAACATATGATATGATATGAATTTCTCAAGATGATGAGAAATGAGATGTGTCACATCGGAAGCAAGCATAAGCCATATGCTTCGATCGTATAATCACCTTTTATGTTACATGATCGAAAGCAAAAAGAATATACCCTTCACAATGAACAAACGCATCAAGAACAACAAGGCCAAACGGTGTAAAAAATATGATTAAAATACTAAAAGAGAAAAGTATTTTATTATTAGTTTTTATGTAAGGAAAGTTCTAAAAAATTAGAGAATTAATTTCTAAAAAATTTCTAATATATTCTATTATTTTTTTATTGTTTTTATTATATTTTTCTATATAAAAGAAAAACTTAAAACTCAAAAGATACAAAAATAAAATATGGAAGTCAGGGGTGTTAAACTGTATCAGGGGTAAAAACCAGCCAGGGGTGCTAGACCTATTCAATAATGTCCCTGTTTTTTGTTTGGTGAAGCAAGGCGCTAGGGCCCAAAATTCCAGGTCCAAAAGGAGTTTTTGTTCAGCTACAGTTCAGTAGTGCCAAAACATAGAGCATTGGGCTTAGTGCGCAGACATGAACATGGATATGGCCCAAGGGAATCCGATCCACATCTCAACATACTTTTATTCAATTCAGATTTAATAATCCAAGTTTTATTAAAAGGATTTAATTGAATAATAAAAAGAAAATAAAATGAATACTGGGAAAACAACAATGTTTTGGCCTTCCTAGGGTTTATTTGTGACTCTTAAGCTCCTTCTGAACACAGAGCCTTTTCTCACCTTACTTCTCTCTTATGACGCGATTGTTGTTGGAGATTCTTATGAGGACACTGAGATGAGAGTGTAGTGATGTGGGTGATTATTCAGAGAGAGAGTGAAGATGAAGATGAAGGTTATGCAAAATCGAAGATTGATGAAGCAGATGGATATGCTTTAAGAATTGTACAACGAGAGAAGAGACTTTCTGGTGAGTTTTTTAACTGATTTTCTGAGAAGTGAATCGTGTCCCCCTCTTCCCTTTTCTGTTATCTATTTTTCTGCTTTTCTTCTGTTAGGAGTTTGTTATAAAATAGGTTGAGCTGGCCGTGTTTGTTACGAATTTTGTTTTGGTTTTTATAGGTTGGTGGAAGTTGTGAATCTGTTAATTCGGTTAGAGAATGTTTTGGATCTGTTTTGACAGTTAGTTATCTAGAAACTGTTAGAAAATTAGTTCTTGTTTTCTGTTATGCGGTTAAAGTTAGAAAACAGTTTAGAGATTTCTTTTATGGTGTTAGTTTTGGTAAAGATATATTAGGAAGTTAGAAAAATGTTTGGGTGGTTTTGAAATTCTGCTATTACAGCAATTAGGAGTTAGTTTTTTGAGCTGAAAAAGAATCAATCAGAGGTTAGTTAGTTATAGAAATTGGCAAGTTAGTTATAGAAATTAGTTGGGAAGTTGGTCAGAGTTATTAGGTTATTTATGAACTGGTATATTCAGTTAGAGTGATTGTAAGTTAGGCTCGGATTCAGTTAGTATTACCAGGCTCAGATTTGAGTGAGTGAATTAGCTAAATGAGTGAGGGATTCGGTTCAGTTTTAATTGATGATTATTTTTTATGTGTTAAATTGCTTTGAACTGTATTGAAACTGGTTTGAATGCCTTGGCTTGGTTTTAGTTAATGACTGTTTTGGGAATTTTCACAGGGACTTGCTACAGTAGGGCTACAAGGAGGTTATCTCACGTTTCTTGTGTGAGCAGGGCTGAAGGAAGTGTGCAAGAATGGTTTAGATTGAAACAACGATTGGTTGTACTCTTGGAAAGAAAATGGAACAAGTTTTGTATAAGTTTAAAACTATTTTTGAATGGACTTTGAATTAGCTTTTGTACTGTTTTGGAATGAGATGAAACAAGGCATTAATTTTTCTTAGGATGCAATAGAAATTTGAAAATTTTGAAATGTTTCTTTGAAATGCTGGATTTTGGATGTAATGACAATGTTGAATGGTGTTTATGTGAAGAAATTGGGACTTGAATAGAACTTGATCATTAATGTATCATGCTGATGATGGTTTTGAATGTTTTTTGATGATTTTGAACTTGATCTTGAATATTTGAAATTTGGATTTGAACCTTGCTTTCTTGAATTATACCTTGCAACTTGAAAATTAGTCTTAGGATGCAATTGAAAGTTTGAATGACCTTGTATGCATTTAATGCAATATTAATTTGACAATTCCAACTCTTCAATCTCTTATCCAAAATCAACTCCTCTTAAACTAGCATTAATAGCTTCCAATGCTTCTTTTCTTTTGCAACTTGAATGAAACACATGATACCAAATTTTTTTTTTTTTGATAATTCATGAGATAAACTCAAAGATGACTAAAGAAAGACTTTCATTTGAAATTAAAAATCTTTATAATGAATGAACATGGTGTGCTTTTTTCTTCAAAGTGACTTGAATTCCAAGGAATCCACGTGGATGGATTTTTCAAACTTAATATGTTTGCCTCTTAAAATATTGGTCCAATTTGACAAATTCGAACCACTTGAACTTATGGCCTCAAATGATCACTTGAATGAATACTTTCACCATAATGAATCCACAACAATTCAAGTCTCTCAATCTACATCAAACTTGTATAACAAGAAACGAGAGAACTAATAATGCCTTAATCTCAGTGAATTTATAACATCATCCTTGTATCACGTCTTGAATTGATGATCAACAAAATTTTAGTGCTTTGAATCCTTAAGAACGAATGATAAGGCTTGAAGCATAAAATAACTCCTGGATATCTAATGATCCTCAGCTAAATAAAACTCAAGCATGAGTATATGTAAAACCTAATTTTCTGGCTTTGGATACTCAATGAGGGGAAAGATAGCTTAAGCCAAAATCCTGGTTCAAAACCACCTGAGTTGCAACCTTGATGAGACACTAAGTACCATAAGTAAAAACCCTAATTCACTTTGATTTGGATGAATATTTGATAAGAAAAGAAATCCATAAATCCTGAACTACAGTTCCACAATCCACTGCTTGAAGAGGGACCAAAAGAATCAGAATTTATTGAATATATACACCTCAAAACACTGTGAAACCCTAATATCGCACAACCACCGAACATTGAACCTCAAGCGCTTCATTGAATGAAATGTATGCCATGTTAGTGACCTAATGGATGTTATGTATATGATGATGCATAAGCCAAATGTTCGATAAAAGGGGAGGACAGATTTTGGGTATTACAGCTGCCCCTATTTAATCATCTTAAACCTGAAAGTACGATTGGCGCGTGTCTTTCAAACGTTTAAGGTAGAAGATGATTAAATACAAATGCCAATAATTTGTTCTGGGAGAAGGTGCGAGTGTTTATTTATAATTGTTTTATCTTCTGGGGAGATAATTTTCTGTTTCTCCTGGTGAGAAAGATTTATGGGCGAATTTTAGAAGGTGGTTGCTCGTAATGGGGTAACGGTGCCAATTCGAGGCTATCAAAAAGGGATGCTTACTACGCGAGATGAAAATTGGCAGGATGAGTACAAAAAGAAGATTGATGAGATCTATGGGTAACCGGCGATCCTACGATGAGACCTACGGATAATCTGTAAGAGAAAACCCGAATCTATGGACGACCTCAGGTTCTAAAGCGAGACCTACGAACGATCTGCCAAAATTATTAGGCCTACAAGTGACCTACAAGAGGAAAGCCTGGTATATGGACGACCTACAAGGAAATCTAGATCTACGGTCAATCTAAGATCCTAAGGTAAGACCTACAGGCAGTCTACCAGAAAACGAGGCCTACAGACGACCTACAAGGAAATCTAGATATATGGTTGATCTAAGATCCTAAGGTAAGACCTACAGGAGATCTACCAGAAAACTAGGCCTACCGGCGACCTACAAGGAAATCTAGATCTACGGGCGATCTAAGATCCTAAGGGAAGACCTACAAGAAGTATTGGTTACGACACAATGATTGAAGATGTGAGAATGACCAAGTGCATTGCATTTGTTGGTATTTGAAAGAGAGATAGACACATAGGAGTATTTGGAATACTGGCACAAACGAGTCTTTAGAGAAAATGTAACAAACGAGTGTTTAGAGAAACTGACACAAACGAGTATTTTAAAGACTGACATAAATAAGTGTTTGGATAACTGACACATATGAGTGTTTGGAGGACTAACACAAATGTGTGTTTAGAGAGAATGACACGAATGAGTGTTTGGAAGACTGATACAAACAAGTTTTGGAAAACTGAGTTATTTGTCATACAGGAACTGACTACCAGACGAGAACTGGGTTTAGAATTAATCATCACACAGGAACTGATTATCAGATGGGAATTGGGTTTAGAAAATAGTTTTCCTGGGCGATAATGGGATTTTGAAATGGTTAGCCTGAGCGGTAAGTAGGATTTGAAATGGTTTTCCAGGGTGAGAACTGGATTTTGAAGTGATTATCCAGAGCAAGAATTGGGCTTTGAAATAATTGTCAGACGGGAACTGACTACCAGACAAGAATTGGGTTTAGAATGAGAAGGTGTATTGATTAAGCTGGGAATTCAGGGGTATAAGGTATTGGCACCGTTAGCTGGGCATTGTGAAGGTGAAGGATGTCAGCTTGGGTTTTTGGAGCAATGCGCTCTTGTGGAGACGTATTACTATCTTTGAATGATTCGGGTTTTTCGTGTAAGGTACCCGGTCTGGCTTATGTTCTATATGCATGCTTGAATATCTTTTGTCGCAAAAACCCATTATGATGGATTTGTTATGTGCTTTTGAAGATGCAATGCTATGTAGTAATAACTATATGCAAATGCAAAGAAATAGACTTCATGGGGATGAGCGAAGCCTCGTTGAGAGATGTTGATCATCACTAGGGATGCCAATACATATCGGCGCTGGAAACCTGCAGTACCAAAGATTGCTGGGGATACTGATAAAAATTCGCACTAGCGAGTTCATGATACCGAAGATCATTGGTGACTCCGCTAGAGATTGATCTGCTGACGAAGCGAGTCTTCAGGTAAGCCATTGAATTCTGAATCACACTATTGGGGAAGAGATAATCTGGCCCGACTTTTCAACATCCTGAACCGTTGAGAGGATGGTAGAACTGAATATGCCAAAGAATGGGTACTGAGCACCATATGGATCTCTTCTAATACCTACCCCATGTTTACGCCGCACTATGGGATTACCTCTTGATTCACTTGGAGATAAAAGATGGGCATAAACACATGTGAATTCCCCAGTTTAGATCTGTAAATGCCCCGGTTTAACTCTACGAATGGCATGATTTACTCCACCGGGGATGCCCCGACTTAGCTCACAGGATGTGCACTTGCGTGTGCCAGTCAAACGATGACTCTGAACTTTCTGAATTCACTTAGGGAGTCAGGTTTGAAATTTTCTGTAGCAGATGAAGGCGTCTCTGTGCACTGGCCAAGTAAGTATGACCCTTATGATGCTTTTAGCTTGATTGTAGTCGTCTCGTACAACATAATTGGCTTGAGAAACTTTGCAAGTCTGGATGAGGAATGCCCCTGTCTGGAGAATTTCTAAAAGGGTCTGTGCTGAATAGAAGACCATAATATTCATGCCACAAGACGATATGAGGTGGCCTGTCGTAATCTCTTAAATCACGAAATAAACTTCTCTTTATTACAACTTTCTTGGAGATATTTGTCAAAATCATTTGGAACGTGGCCTGGTTCATGGTTTTAGAAAAAAAGGATTTAAGGCTCAAAATCATTTGGTGCCCACCCATTCTCCATGATTTTCTCCATTCCTACGTTCATTTAACCCGATACAAGAATTCATCTCTCAAGAAAAGTTTGCGATGGTTGGGGAACCACTGAGGCCTCTTGGACAAAACAATCACTAACTTCTCATTTTGGTGTCAGATCATATGACCTTGTTCTCTCGATAGGGGTTTTTATTGGTAATACTTTTCTCGCCATTTAGGTTTTTCAATTTCTTTCTTGCTTTTGCTTGTACAAATTCTTTTGAATTTCAATTTGGACCAAGTTTCGACTTAGCAAGGCTTTTTGTTTCTTTATTATTAAGACTTTCCTTTTTGAACGGGTCGTTGATCTTCATGTTGTCTTTGAATTGTTGGAAGTGATCATGATTGTCTGAGTCTTTAGTAGATAATGGATAACCATTGTTGTATCGTCATCTGTTGACCTCCTGATGTGCGAGAGATACCCATTGGGATATCATTAATTGATGCACGTTGCTGATAGATGAGGGTTAACCATTATGGTTCTGACTTTCCTCAACCATTTAATGGATAAGCATTGTTGTATCCTTGGATGCAAAATCTTGATGCGTCCTGAACGCTTGATAATATTAACTGAACACTACCTCAAGCGCTTCATTGTATGAAATGTATGCCATGTTAGTGACCTAATGGAGGTTATGTATATGATGATGCATAAGCCAGATGTTTCGATAAAAAGGTAGGACAAATTTGGGGTATTACAATTGTATGCATGCTGGAATGAATACCAAATACCCCTTCATGCATATCATCCATAATCTTCTCAACTTCCTTCTTGTCTACACAACGAAGTAGAGTCGAATCATGATTGCGATTGTACAAAGATTCGTTACTCGGAAAGCACTTGGCCGAGACCTCCGTAGTAATTTCTTATTGTGAATAGATGCCACTTGAGGATACTCCTGGGTTTCAAGGTATCTTTTCACTTCATGGTACCAAGGCTTTTCCTCTACTTCATCGATATCAACTCCGTAGCAATATGTAGGTTTTCTAATCTCTCAATAGTGATTCGAGGAGCTTCATTATCCCATATGACTTTGAACATAGACGACATGGTAGCTAATGCGTCTGCCAACTGATTCTCTTCTTGTGGGATGTGTTCAAAAGTGATTTCCTCAAAGTATGGAATTAACATTAATACATGCTCTCAATAAGGAGTGATATTCAGGTGCTTCGTATCTCATTCTCCATTAATTTGACTGATCACTAGGGCTGAGTCATCGTATACATTCAAGAACTTGATTCTCATATCG